ATCAAAGTTAATACAAGTTTGTAAGGGAAACTATCGCTAGAATAATAGAAAAACAATAGTTGTCCAATATATATAGAATTTACAATACTTTTCAAATACTTTAGTATAACAAATCCCTTATTCGAAATATTGAATACTAACACTTTCATGTTTGTTCTAGTTCTTAAGATTTTCAAAAATTATGGATAGTTTCTTGATAGCTTTTCTAAAAAACAATCGCAAAAACGTCAGTTCTATTAATTTGGGGAATTTAAATATTCCCCAATATATTTGCAAGCTAAAAAATTTATAAATGAACTACTAAACCAATTTTGTTAGATATTTTCAAACACCACTGATGATAAATATTTGGCAATATCCACAAAAAAAAATAAATAATTAAAAATTAATTTCGTAAAGAGGTTTCGAAAAATAGTGAAGTACAACAACAATAACTTTTTTTTATATTATTTTTAATTAATTGAATTTTTGGCTGACCAACTACTTCGAGTATTATCAAATACCCATCGTCACTGGTCTGGAAAATATTTCTTGTATATAATTATTCATAAATACTTTTTAGAAACTGCAAGTACTAGGGATTAAACTCGTGCCCTGTCAAATTTGAAGCTCAGAGTCAGCGCTCATTACAATGCCGTACTTAACTTGTATATTCGAACTTTTTTCTGATGTTTTTTTAATTTGCTGTAAAAGTTCATTAACAAATTTACTTGCTTTGTTATATTAATTAATTTTTAATTATATTATAATATAATATTAATTAATTATATTTTTATTTTTAATTGTTAAATTTCAATACTATTTTGTTTATAGAGACATTATTTGTTCTAAAAATAAATCTTATTTTGAAAAATAAAATTTCTTCATTATAACACATTCTTAATAGACAAACAGACAATTTTATTATCATGACATTAATGTATTTAAATGAATTAAAGAATAAAAAATTTTTTATAATTAAAATTTATAATTGTTATCTGTATATATTTTTTAAATGTTAAAAATTTAAAATTGCATTATTTTTTTTTTCTTATGAACTTTTTGGCTACTTTATTGTCTTGCTACATCAAGTAGAGATCCAGTATTCTTCATCAAACTTTCTGAATAAAATGCAACAAAAGTGCAACACAGTTGCTGTCAATGAGAACTTAAATCCTTTTGACTTTCATTTATGCCAAGAAGTTAAGAATTAGAATTTTTACTTCCAGCATCGTTTTAAATTACACACCAGGCGTTAGAAATAAAGGAGCATAGCTCTTGGATATTAAACTTTTGTTGTGCAATTTGCCATAAACTTTGCATTTTGTTCTTATTTCGTAGTCCAAGTTAAAACTTTTGTGGAGGATTTTTTTTAATTTTTGGTTTTACTATGTTGTCTTTAGAGATGCATTTAAATGTGAATGAAAAATTTCTCTTTGAGATTTAAAAAAAAAAATATCAACAAAATATCCTAGTGATATTTTTTAATACATATTTTTCTAAATTATTTAAAATATTAAATGTATGAAATAAGCCATATAAAGCAATAGTATTTGATAGACTCAGAAAAATGATATATTGTAGTAGATAGATAGATTTTAAACGGGTAGGGAACTTGTCACCACATCACTACATCCTTTGAGGATTATTGTGACAAACCCACTTTAGGTAGTTGATTAGTACTGGTCTGAGACTAGCAAGACCATCACATTGACACACAATGTGTTCTGCTGTTTCTTCTTCTTTGTGACAAAATTTGCAACTATCGTCCCTTGTAATACGTAAATTTAATAGATGTTTTTTGGACAATCAATCTTAGCTGCTTTTTAATTTTAAGTTTGAAAAAGCTTCATGAAGGACCGCAGAATAGCTGTGGCGTCATATATTATAATATGATATCGCTCCTTTTCTAACTTGTTCATCAGTTTTCTAGAGTCTCTCAAATCCACTGTGTCCTGGGATCCATATTAAGTGGACCCTGTTCCTTTCAGCAAGATCTTTAAGAAGTTGAAGTCATTGCCACACTAGTTTTGAAGTTACTCGAGGTGAATGCTGTGTTTATTTGCTGTCAGAGAAAATATACCTTTTTCCCCGTGATGGGTTTCCCTTTATATTCCCTTAGACAAAGTTCAATTTCGTGTATTCCATCACTCCTTCCATCGTTTTAGAGCCATCCGTGTACCACAGATGGTAGTCTCCACCGAACGGAGGTATGTTCCGTTCCCAGTCTTTCCTGTCTGGTATAAGAACTAGGAATTTTTGGTGGAAGTCAAGTTTAGATGAGCAACTGTTAGACATGGTGATGTCTGACAATTGACAATTGTCTGACAATCCTTACCTAAAAAGGAGTTATCGAGTGATCTTGTTCATCGATTACTAGTCAACTTGAGCATAGGTATCTGTAAAAGTCATTGCTTCCTTTTTGACAAATAGGTGAAGTGGGGGAGTGCTATCTTAAGGGCTGCTTTCGGGGTGGTTCTCATTGCTCTATTTATATTATAGTAAACCATAATAAAGTTAAAAAGTTTGTATCCTTATATTGCATTACAAAACAAACTTATTTAGCAAATTTTCTAAAAACATCCTATGTGACACAAATATATATTATGTCATGAAATTAAGACAAACTTTGCAGTTTTCATTTTTAATAGAGTTTTGCAGCTGCTGTGCAAATTCATTTTGTCCTACAAAAACCCAAAAATGTTTACAGTGTAGAATGTGTAATTAAAGTTCATCCTTTTGCAGCTCCAATTTCATTTGTCAGAACTTGTAAACTAAGAAGTAACACGAATCTGTTCCAATGAAATTAGTTTAAATTAAGTATTTTTAAAAAAACATTTACAATATGTTAATACAATATTTTTTACAAATTTATTATTAAAATTGTCATTGGAAATCCAATGAACTGTTAATAGCATACGTTTTTTATTCAAAAATTGTAAAATAAGTCCATGTGCATATACGAATTACTATATGTGTAGTGCATGTCGGATTAATTATTTCAAAATACTTCTAAAAATAATACAAACGAGAAAATTTCAGTTTATTAATAAAATTTCACGATAAATCTTTATCAATAAAAAAATATACAAATTTTCGACACAAATTTTGAATTGAATTTTTTTTTTTTAAAATACACAGTTAATGTTAATAATTAAATATAAATAATTTTGATGTATTCGTTTTACAAAAACTTTAATCAATTATACTCACAACGCATGAAATTTTAAATCTTAATCATTTACAAAACCTAAGATATCACTATTAAAAGTTTAATAGCCAGTCTTTTCGGCTGGCGATTATCAGGAGTGTCCCGCCAATTGCGATTTCTCTTAGCTCAAAACATTTTTCTATCAGAGAGTTTTTTATAGACTAACTTATACCGCAATCGGTCCCGGTTCATAAAGTTGAATGACTGATTCAACTCTTGCAAGCCTATCTGCAAACCCGTTGCCACTAATTTCTGTAGGACTATAAAACCTAGCAAAACACCACTCTGTTCACAACATTTCCATTTACATTTATAGTTTAACTTGTGCAATCTTAGACAGTGGCAAGACAATAACAAGACACATAACCCAAATTTAAAGACTTTTTTAAGTATTATATTGTGTAAATTATCAATAATTGTTGAACAGAAACTATATGTATATCGTTTTAATATATCCTCACATTTTATTTTTGTGCATCTATATTATATACATATATATATTATAAACAATACTTAATACGTACTGGAACGTTAATAATAAACGTATTAAATGTATATTCTTATATTTTAAAAAAAAAAATTTTTTATATAATAAATTTTTCTCAATAGTGGTACATACCTCAAGTATACAAAAAAATTTGTTAACTGAGTTTAATACTTATTTTGTTAAAACTTTCCAAAACTTCTCTTAATAAATCTTTTTAACGCTTCGTAATGGCATTTTCTCTACATTTGCAATGAAGTACAAATTTAAGCACCCAGAAAATCTAAACAAAACTACAACTTTAAATATAAATCCAAAAATGTCACACAAGGCCAGGTGTGGAAAAAAAGAAAATAAGAAACTTTCTTTATGGATTTGTAATACAAAAATATATACAAAAGGAATTTTACAGAAAAAATACAAACTATGGACTTTTTCGTAAATACTATATACACTTCAAGTTAAATGAACTGTTATTAAGAACATATAATTCAGATATTATAGAGCATATAGATATTATGATCTACTATTGTGTTTAGTTAAATAGCTAGCCTTATCCCTACCATAATAGAAAGAAAAAAATTTAAATCTATATCACTGATAACTTTATTTTACAGACGTTCGAAACAATTCCAAATTCTATAGATATCCAAAGTAGTTCAAAATCTTATAAATATTAAAAATAGTTCAAAATGTTAGACCAAAATTAACCGATTTTTTAAGCTTTCAAAACTGCTTTAAACAGCTCTTAAGAGATAACAGATTTTTAATACAGTTTTTGTAGAACTACCGTCTCTATGATGGTAAACTATAAATAAACTATAAATGTTGAAGGTAGAAATTAAAGAAGGCTTAACACATCTTATCACTCGAATGTTCGAAGAAATTTATTTATAAATACCTGAAACTTTAACCAATCTTAAAAAATATGTATAATATATATACATTATATACCTTAGGAGGTCCTCAACGGCCGACATTCTAGAATTCATTCGGACGGCGGAATGTTCTTCTGTTCGGTTAGGGTGTGTTGCAGCATAAAAGATCAATCATAGTCGCAATGCTCCGCTCCGTTGGGAGCTAAAACCCCGTTCATTCCTATTCCTATACATTATTATATTGAGGCTAGTTGAGTCAGCGCACTTTTACTCTCCACTAACTGCTAGGTTTCTTCATAACCCCTCTCTACGCTATATAATGCTCATACAATAATAATCCCACAATAAAAAAGATTTATCTAGTAATCTGAAAATTTGAAATTTAAAAAAATCAAATATATTTATAAGTTGAATTTTATTTTACATCTATAAAAAAAAAAATGTTAAATACATAGCAGAATAATTTTATATTTGGATTTGTATTTTTATACTTTTTTATTGCAAAAATCTATAAAATTAATGGGCAAAATTACGATACCAGAACCCTTTTTCTCTCGCTAGTCACAAAAAATTGCAAAAATGGTAAACACAACATACAGACGAGTTTTTTATAATTTACTAATCTTTTAACTTACTTTAGGTTTATATTGAATACGGGCACAGAAATGATTTCATATGCAGAACACAGAAATTGATCTTACAAAGACCATGGACACCAACGGTACGTAAGAAAAAAATAATCGCAGAAGAATCATTGCCTAAACTTGTAAATTTGGGATCATTAATCGGTAAGTAAAGGTAAAATAATCTTAAATCTTAATTAAATTAATCGGTAAGTAAAGGTAAAATAATCTTAAATCTTACTTAAATTAAAAATACTTTATGCACAATTAGGACGAAATATACTTCAATATTCTTTAAAAAGAACTGCTCCAGCCTATCGTATAACTGGAAGAATTGAGAAAAAAATAAAGAGTTCCACACCTAGCCCTGCCGCATATGATATTTCTGGTTTAACTTGTAGAGGTAAATTCACATGTGTTACTCCAACACTGAAAGGACTCCGAGAATGTAAACAAAAACTTGAAACACCCGGACCTGAGAGATATAAATCTTCTAAAGCATATAAAAATGCGCACAAAAATTTACCGATGTACTCATTTGGATACAAACGTAAAATTGTTAGAAATGAAATTATTCCTGGTACTTTTTCAATTTTTTAAACAATTAAATACATAGCTTTATAAACTTTGTCTCTTTATAAGCATCAAAATTTAATATTTCACATTTTATCATATTATTTCAATTTGTCCTTATTTTTATTTTTAGGTCCAAATGTATTTGCTTTACCTTCAATGGTAGGGCCAAACGTAGTTGGCAAGGCACGCTGTGCACCTGCGTATTCATTAACAGGTCGAATAGATCCAAACTCCAAATTTCTTACACCATGTCCAACGACTTATACTCCCGTTATTGACTGTTCTAAAAAAAATTTACCTAAATATTCACTACGTGGCCACTGCCATCAAATAAATTCACAAAAACAAATTCCAGGACCAGCCGCATATTGCCCACAGAGCGTGCGTTTTTAGTATATTAGTAAGATTACTTTAAAAACAAACTTTTATTTTTTTTCTCTTTTTTGTAGTATAACCGTTATAAATCAGCACCGGAGATATCATTTGCTATTAAACATAGTCCATACAGTGGCAGACCATTACCTAAATGCCTTGATCCAGTCACTGGAATCTGCAAGTGCGTTTAAATTTAAATGAAGTTATGCTCATCATTCAAATATATTTTATTTAACTGAATATAATATATTTATATATAGATAAAAAAAAAATAAGTTGCATATATCTGTATGTAAATATATTATATTTTCATAAATATGTAGATTTATAATTGGATGTGCATATATGCGTAGTGAAATGATTACATTATATAGCAAAATTAGGTAAATTATTAAAATCCAAAATAAAATATTTTGTATACCATAGCAACAAAAACTAATTTTATTATTTATACATATTTTATAGAGACATTTCGAAAAGTAGTGAACTACAACAACAAAAACTGTTTTTTATATTATTTTTAATTAACTGAATTTTTGACTGACCATACAGCTGTTTCGAGTATTGCCAAATACCCATCATCAGTGGTCTAGGAAATATTTCTTATATTTAATTATTCGGAAATACTTTTAAGACTGTAAGTACCAAGGGTTGAACTCGTACCCAGCCAAATTTGAAACTCAAAGTCAGTCTTCATTACCCATCGGACCCAAAGCCATACTTGACTCGCACTTTGAGTTTTGTTAATTTGCTGCTAAAGTTCATTAACAAATTCGCTTGCTGTGTTATATTAGACTATATTAAAATAATTTATTAAAAGCAATTTTTTTAAAAATTTAAATGGAACCATAAAGCAATTAGGCTAGTTTATTTCTGACAAAGTATAATTTATGGAAGTTTGAGATCCTGTTCTATACCACGTTATTTTTACTTACACAGTTCTTCAACAACGGTTTGTATAACATACAATGGAATGCATAAATATTTCCATTTTATTCTTCAAATTATCTTAAATACAGTATCCCATTTGCAATAATGCTAAATTGTGAAGATTTTTAAGAGATAGTAGCGGGAAACTATTGAACATATGTCACGACCTAAGATCTTAATCTTATTTGGCACTATAGTCCAGTGTGAACCTTACCCGCCCTACCTCAATCTAAAATACCTGGCTTAGTCAATACGAATATTTTCAAATTGAACTAAAATGTGAATTCCTGCTTATTGTTTCTAATCCACACATAGTTTCTTTTTCTTGAATCTTCATTATATATTGCAATCTGTCCAATTTAATTTGATATTAAGTTATTATTTTAAACAGACTTTAAACTATATTCGGTGTCACAACCACACATATTTACTATCAGGGAGTGTTTCTTCCTAGCCCTATAAATGTGTTCTAAGGCAACAAGCGGGTGTGGATATTTACATATTCTATTGGCATGCTTTTTTGCAATTTAAGACATTTGTCTTTTGATTGTTGGGACTGAGAGTTGTTTATGTAATTGATTGTTGATAGAACACCAAGTCCATTTGTATTGTTTTGAAGTAAAAACGTTTGATTATTCTCGGATTTTTACCTGCCGATGTCCTTCCTTATTGTAATTAGTAACTTCAGTTAGTTTTTGGAACACTATTATAAATCTGATATCTATTCCTTTAAGACAATTCAGTATTTAGACAATTCCTTAACTGAGGAATCAAAATAAGTTTCATATATTTGTATCGTGTAATCCTTCCTCCTCTTATGAGTAAATTTATTCCATTTTAATTCATATGAAACATAAATGCATATTCTTCCGAAATCCTTCGAAACTAATTATTATTTCGGAAAGTTGCATTAAAACCATAAATTCTAAACTTATAACCACGGTTGCCACTTATGGTAGTACCAAAATTGGTACTTTTTTTTTCGTTTGGTACTCATGTTCAAAAAATGGTACATTTTTGACCACCCAACTTTATTGTGGATATTTCCAATTAATTTTTATTATAAATGCAATTTTGCACTATTTTATATTTCGTTCATTTATAACACTATGAAAAACACAGAACGAAAAAATAAAAAGGTCCAAAAAAATTTTGGACCCTTTTTTACAGAAATGGTACCTTTTTAAACCAATTTTGGTACGGGAAAAAATTTTCAAGTGGCAAGTGATAACTCCTAAGTGCCCAGCTATATATAGTGTAATGTAGCATAAGGCAAAGCAATTTTTCCTGCATTATTTTATCTAATCTAACACATTCAACGCCCTTTTTAAAATTCATTGTACTCAAAATGTTTTTTTATAATAAAGAAATCTGAATAATTTTATGCGGAGAGCACAATCCAAAATAATTGATATGAAATTAAAGTATATTAATGATTGCCTACGGCAAAAGTTCAATTCAATTCAATTCAATTCCGTTTGTTCTCTCAGAACTCTTCGTAAAATTTGTTTAAACTAATTTTGTAATATGAACATTTGCTTGAATAAATTATATCAAATGCAAGTAAGGAATATACTTTCTATTACAATTATTATTATTATTATATTATTATTACAAAGTATTAGAATTATAAATTACATTAACATAAAATTTGAACATTAACACTTTCAAGTTCTCATATATATTTTATATTTAAATAAAAGTGATGAGAATTACAATTTCACTTATTTGTGAAAATTGTACCATACACTATGAAATCAATTTTTTGTTTTTTATAAGAAAAAGCCTAACAGGAAATAACTTAATAATAAATGTGGTTTATGTTATTAACTTATGTGCAACAACAACAAGAAATTCACAAAAATACAAGTTAGAATAAAAAAAATAAATTTTGATTATTTTCGATTTGAGAGTTCTGATGATTAAAGTCTAGTTCGAGAGAATAAGGCAGAAACATATTTCAAATCTTGAAAACCATGTGAATGCGCTGACTAGATCTCTTGCTAATATGACAACTTCCTCTAGACTGAAACGAAATGATAGTCCCGCCATCCTGTTTTCCTAAAGATCACTCTGATTAATTCAACTTATAACACGTGATATCTGGTAAATAAGCCTTAGCTACTTTTTCAGAGGCCCCTTAAAAGAAAAAAAAAGTGATATTCGCTTTCATTTGGTAAGATGATGATTATTTATTGTGTATATATTTATATTATCAATCAAAAAATCAATCAAAAATAATTTGGTGATTCATTTCTTAATCACTTGCTTTTCACTATCTTAAACACTATCACTATCTTAATATAATAAAACCTTTTAAATTTATACAAAACTTCCATTACCGAAGTTCAAAATTATGCACGGTGTCACTATTTATGAAAAAAATAACTATTAAATAAACCTAAACCTAAGATACTTTCACAGTTTAATGAAAGTTGTATTAACCATTCTAAATGTACCCTGAAATAATTGTATTGGAGTGAGTGAAGAGTAAGCACATACAGTTAAATTCGTTCTGCATCAAGTTTCTAAACAAAAGTTGCATTTAAATTGATGTTTTTTCTTAGTTACAAGTTCATTTGCTAGTAATTCGTTGCCAGCTAAGCTGATTCACTTTGAAACTGCATTCGGCACACAAGTGCAATAGTTGCAGTAAATTTTGGTTCACACATTGCACTTAATTTCAGGGTTTCGTGTTGGTACGATAAAATAAAGAGGAAGGAATTAATACCCCTGATCTACTCTTAAATGGATGTGAAATGTAAAGACCCCATATATTACACTTTACCTTTTCTACTAAACCTTTACGCTAGTTTTTTGTGGTTATCAGACTGTGTGACTATGTGAGAGCAAATGCATTGCGTAGTTTCCGTCCTAACGTGATGCTTTGTGATGCATTACACTGAAACGGACATTTGACAGGAATCCAAGTAAATGCATTTAACTAAAACTGTTTGTAGGTATACATATCTGCAGATTTATATAGCAAAACGTATGAGACTCCTATTCCACTTCATTAAGTATGGTTGCAATTAGCTTAACTGCATGTAACCAGCAAAAATTTGTAATCAACTTTAAATTGATTGAGCAAATGGTGGTGACCACTACATTTTGTCAACTGTAAATAACTTAACTTTTGTTCAAAAAATTAAAGATAAATTAACAAAACAATTGCATTTAAACCGTCTTATAGCATTTGAATGATATGTGAGCTATTCTGAACATTTAAAATATAAATTCTAAAAATTTGAAGATTGAAAAAAAGATTTTTTACAAGAAATTTTTCAATCATTCCATACACAATATAACCAAAAATATTTTATATTTTATTATGTTTTTCGTTCTATTGTTAAAATGAAAAGAATCTATGGGGTAGATTGTAAGAATTTCTCCAACTTTTTTGTTTTTTTGTTTATGTATTTGTTGTAATTACATCTGCCTTACAGGAAAAGGCAATAAATAATTGGAAGAATTTTAGTATATAAGCTAATATGTAATATGAAATTAGTTTTTCTAATAAGTAAGTAAAGTAACATATGTAACAACTTTTACATTAGAACATAATATTTAGCAAGTCTGTTGGGAATGAGCTAATTCTTTCGTCGGTAAAATCTGGAGTTCCGACTTTTAATGTTTAAGTAGTCGAGTTATGTGCTTTGCACTAGACACCCTTATCATCTCGGTTATTATTAGACAACGCCAAAGTCTTTATGAATTTCGTTGTTTGGTATATACCAATCAGCATTGACGTTGTTTCTATTTCTACAATATAATGTTAAAAATACTAAATAAAAATTTTCAGAAAAATTAAAACTTTCGCATAAATGTTAGTAGAACTTTAAAGTTAAATATTTTTACTGAATTTCTATTTTAATATAATTCTACCTTATGTGTACTATGAAACATACATAAAGTCTGTTTATTTCTCGCCATATATACTTCAGGATTAAGGATGAACGTAGACTACATGTAGAAAATTAAACCTTTACTACTACTGCATGTAGAGGAGCTAACATCTTCATATGTGTGCACACAGTTGGATAAGATTTATTTAAAGAGTGGCAAACAAAATTGTCTTTGAGTTTTACAAAACTTCAACAATAAATCTTTTTTACGCTTCAGCACGACACTTTCTGTGCATTTTCAATAAGGCAACACATAGGAAATTTCAAGATATTAAGCCGCAAATGTGACCTACGCAAATGTGACCAACAGCATAAATTTAAAAGTTTTACTGGAGACACGTGCATGTGCGACCGAAAAACAATATTGATGCAGCAGGTTTTGCATATTTCAGGAGGAGGTCCTGCAGTTTCGAACCAGAAATGAAAAACTCATAAATTTTTTTTTAAAAAATTGTCTTCAATACAAAAAGCTTCAAAGATGCAAAATATTATATCTCCCAAATATTTGTAAAAGAGTATTTGCGAGACTATGCAACTATGCAACTTTATTTAATATTTAA